AGGAGCCAGACTTGGACAGCTCCTGACATTGGCTGACACAAAAGTCCCTCCTAGGAGGCCTGAAAGCAGCAGACAGAACAATCAGCCTCAGACAACATAATCTGCCTAGAGTGGTCGGCAAACTCATTAGTCAACAGAGCCAACTATCGACAGCACAACGATTGAAATTTCTTTTTAAAGCTGAATTTTTTAAACTTAAACTTCTTCTAACGCCACTTCTTCAAAATAGACTCGCCCAGGCCGTGGTATTTTGGGGAAGAGCCACACTCAAGGGGCCAAAGAGCTGCATGTGGCTCGCGAGCTGCAGTTTGCCGACCACAGGCCAAGATAAACTTCACTTGCTGGCTTCTTTTTTCTTTTTTCTTGCTTTGGTATTTACTGTTGTTATTAAGGTTTTTTTCTCTTTTCTCTTGTTTCTTTCATATCTCTTACTAGTCTCCTTCCTTTTCTTATATTTTCTTTCTTTCTCATTCTTTTGCTTTACTTTTCTCTCCTTTTGACCTTTGCATAACTTTTTTCTTTCTCTATCTTCTTGTCTTTTTTCTACTGTTTTCCTTTTCCTACTTTACTCTTATTTTTTGCTCTCCATTCTTTCCTTTCAGAATCTTTTTTCTGTCCCTTTTCTCTTCCAGTATTCTTTTTATTTTCTGTCTCTTATTATTAGTAACATTATCTTTTTCTCTCTTTTTTATTATTCTTGTTCTCTTTTATCTTTCCTAATTCTCTTCTCTTTTGTGGTTGTTTTTGCTGTTTGTTGGGATATTTTATACTAGTGGCCCAGTGCACACTAAAAGAGAATTCATGCACATTAAAAGAGAATTAATTAAAGAAATATTTTAATATTGCTATTTGCCCTTTCTCTATGATAGAAGTGTCAGAGATGAAAAAAACAAAAACTACTAAAATGTATATGAAAATCTTTCTCCTGTCAGCGTCTGGGGCATGCCTCGGGATCCAGAGCCAGGTACCCACCCACCTGCGCATGCCTCGAAATCACATGAGACCCAAACTCAGCCATCCCCACCCCCATTGGGTGAGATCCAGATCTGGCGAGCCCCACCTCCATCAAGCCTCAGGTCCCCCGGCCTGGAGCTGGGCAGGGGGCACAGCCTCAGGTCCCTCATCAAGCTCCACCAGGTGGGAGGTGCAGCCTCAGTTTCCCCTGGCACACCTTCAGGTCCCCCAGCCGGGTGCTAGGGTGGGGAATACGGCTTCAGGTCCCCTGGCCCGGGGCGAAGGGCAGGGCCTGAGGTCCCTTGGCCTGGTACTGGGGCAGGGAGTGCACCTTGAAGTACCCTGTCAAGCCCCGCCAGGCAGGGGGCGTGGCCTGAGGTCCACAAGCCTAGTGCCAGGGTGGGGGGCACGGCCTGAGGTCCCCAGACAAGCCCCACTGGGTGGGGGGAGCAGCCTTAGGTCCCCTGCCCCGGCCCAGTGCCATGCAGCCTCAGGTAACTGCTAAACGCTCATTATGGGAACCCCGCCTCCGTGGTGGGCGCAGCCATCTTGTGATGGCATGATGGCATGAGGGTTAATTTGCATATTACCTCTTTATTATATAAGATGTCTTTGGTTTGGTTTGGTTTGGTTTTGCCCTGTCAGCGCCTGTAAAACCATTCATATGACCTGGTTGTGGTTGAGCCATACAGTTAGCCAGCCCGAGAAGAGAGTCCATGCATGAACAGGACAATAACAAGACCCAATTACAACAGGAGAGCCCAAATAACCCACAAAAGGGTCACTCCTATAATATCAAGTTTAGTAGTACAAGAAGACTGCACCACTTGGCCCACAAGACATTTACTGCAAAAGTCCACCCTATTAAGACCGGGAGTCATAGCAAGTATATCTAATACAGATACAAACACAAAGAGACAACTAAAATGGGGAGATAAAGAAACAATACCCAAATTAAAGAAAAGGAGGAATCGCCAGAAAAGGACCTAAATGAGATGGAAATAAGCATGTTATCGGACATAGAATTCATAGTAATGGTTATAAAGTTGCTCAAGGAACTTAGTAATAACTATAAGGAACTTAATGGGAACTACATCAGCATGATAAATGAGATAGAAACTATGTGTAAGAAACAGGCAAAAATAAAGAATACTGTAGCTGAGATCAAGTATATGCTGGAGGAATTAAAAGCAGATTTGATGAAGCAGAGAATCAAATAAGCGGATTAGAAAACAAGGTATAAAAAACAGCAGTAAAAAAAAAAAAAGATACTTTCAAAGCATGAGGACAGTTTAAGGGAATTTGGGGACAACATGAAATGTATCATAGGGTACCAGGGGGAAAAGAAAGTCAGCAAGGAATAGAGAACCTATTTGGAGAAATGATGACAGAAAACTTCCCTAAGCTTGTGAAAGAAAAAGTCACGCAAGTTCAGAAGGCAAAGAAAGTCCCAAGTGCCCATCAGTGGATGCATGGATAAAAAAAAAAAAAAAAAAAAAAAAAAGCTGTGGTACATTTACACAATGGAATACTATGCAGCTGTAAAAAAGAAGAATCTCTTCCCCTTTGAGACAGCATGGAGGGACCTGGAGAATATTATGCTAAGAAATAAGCCAGTCAGAGAAAGACAAGTATCACATGATCTTACTGGTATGTGGAATCTAATGAACAAAATAAACTGATAAACAAAATAGGTCCAGAGGCATAGAAGCATGGCACAGACTGATAGATCTCAGAGGAAAGGGGTGGGATGGGAAGAGATTAACCACAGAACTTATATACATACTAGAAGCCCAGTGCATGATTCAAAATCGTGCAGTGCTGTCCACCCTTGAGTGGTCTGGCCCTGACTCCTTCCCTGGCCCCGAAGCAGCTGTGGTCACTGCTGGTCTGGCCCTGCTGCTTTCCCGGGCCCTGCAGCAGCCATAGCTGCTGCCGGTCCAGCCCTCCCTCTTCAGCCCTTGAAGCAGCCTCAGCCGCTGCTGATCAGGCCCTCCCCCAGCGCAGGCGCGGAGGCCCCTAATGCCCCACCCCCAATGCTGTGCACACAACCTCCTTCTGTTCGATTGACCCATTACAGGAGTCAATAGTGGAGCCCCTCCACTATTATTTATACACACACACACACACACACACACACACACACACACACCGTATTTTTCGGACCATAAGACGCACCGGACCATAAGACGCTAAGACGCACCAGTTTTTAGAGAAGGGAAATGAAGAAAAAAAGATTCTGAAACAAATAGTGTCCTAAAATATTTTATGTGCATTAAAACCCAACATCACAGTCATAAACACATGTAATCAACCCTGTAAAGTAAACAGCAGCATTTAGAACCATTTTAGAGCCGGGCAAGCACACAGAGACCACACAGAGCCGGGCAAGTAAAAAAACTTTTTTTTTTTAAGTATATGTGTAGGCTATATTTGGACCATAAGATGCAGGGACTTTTTCCCCCCACTTCTGGGGGGGAAAAAAGGCGTCTTATGGTCCGAAAAATACGGTGTGTGTGTGTGTGTGTGTGTGTGTGTGTGTGTATGTATATATATATATATATATATATATATATATATATATATATATATATATATGTAATAGTGGAGGGGCTATCCCTCAGCCCAGCCTGCACCCTCTCTAGTCTGGGACATCCCTCTCACAATCTGGGACTACTGGCTCCTAACTGCTTGCCTGCCTGCCTGTCTGATTGCCCCTAACAGCTTCTGCTTCCAGCCTGATTGCCCCTAACTGCTCCCCTGCCAGCCTCATTGATGTCTAACTGCTTCCCTACTGGTCTGATCACCCCCAACTGCCCTCTCCTGCTGGCCCGATGGCCCCTAATTGCCCTCCCCTGCTGATCCGATCATCCGCAACTGCCCTCCCCTGCCAACCTGATGGCCCCCAGTGCCCTTTCCTGCTGGCCTGGTCACCCCTAACTGCCCTCCCCTGCAGGCTTGGTTACCGTCAACTGCCCTCCCCTGCTGACCTGATCTTGCGCCCAACTGCACTCCCCTGCCAGCCTGGTTGCCCCCAAATATGCTCCGTTGCAGGCCCGCTCACCCCCAACTGCCCTCCCCTGCAGGCCCAGTTGCCCCAAACTGCGCTCTCCTGTAGGCTTCATCACCCCCAACTGCCCTTCCCTGCCAGCCATCTTGTGGCAGCCATCTTGTGACAACATTGCGTGATGCCACCTAGGCTTTTATTATATAGGATATGCATAGCCCAAGGACACAGATAATAGGTGGTGGAGGCCTGGGGTGGGGCAGGAACCAGTGAAGAAGAGGAAGAGGAGGTGGGGGACTTCTCTAATACTCTCAACAACAATTTTTTTTTTAAAGCAAGCTATCATGTTGTGAAAGGGCCTGTAGAGAGGGCCACATGGCAAGGATCTGCAGGTGACCTCTAGGAGCTGAGGGTGACCTCCCCCTGACAACCAGCAAGAAGCTAGATCCTTGGTCTCTCATTTTCAAGGAAATAAAATCTGCCAACAACCTGAGTGAGCTCAAAAGTAGACCTATGATCAGCTAAGCCTCCAGATAAGTGACACTTTGAATGCAGCCTTGTGAGATCCTGGACAGAGGCCTCAGCTTAGCCAGGCTCGGACTTCTGAACAAAGGAAATCATGACCTAGCAAATACGTATTGTTTTACTTTTTATTTTTTAACCAAGAAAAAAAATATTAACAAGAACTAAGACTGGCAAAAAAAAAAAAAAAAAAAAAAAAAAAAAATGAGTTCTTAACATTTGCAACAACATGGATGGAGCTGGAGAGCATTTTGCTAAGTGAAATAAGCCAGGCAGAGAAAGATAAATATCATAGGATCTCACTCATTTGTGGAATATACTGAACAACATAAACTGATGAGCAAAAACAGATCCAGACAGAGAAACATCGATCAGAACATCAAACCTAAGGGAAGGTAGGGGAGTGCGGGTAAGGGGGAGAGATCAACCAAAGGATTTGCATGCATGCGTATAAGCCTAACCAATGGACACAGACAACAGAGGGTGAGGGCATGAATGGGGAGGGCTGGAGGGGGTGGTAATGGGGGAATAAGGATACATGTAATACCTTAATCAATAAAGAAAGTTTAAAAAAAGAATTAAGACTGGAGAAAGGGGGGCTTAGCATACACAGGCCCAGTACACAGTAGACATGTCCTTTTCAGACTAGTCCAGCCCCTTGGCTGTTTTGCACACCTCATTGGCTGCAGCTGCCATAGGAGTTGGATGATTGACAGCACTGCCCAGAGCAATGGCTAAGCGAAGATCCTTTTGAATGTATTTCAGGTAGACATCAGGCTCAACGTTTCCTTGCAGAATATGTTGGAACTTCTTATTCAGGTAGCTGCTGGCCAGTTGTCCGTCATTGAGGATGTCCAAGAATGTCTTCTGGGACTGGCCTGTCTCTTGGGCCAGGGTCAGCCCCTCAGCGATGGTGGCCACGAAGCTCCCCAGGACCATGTTCACGATCAGCATCATCTTGGCTGCATTGCCAACCTTGCCGAGAAAGAAGGCGGTCTTCCCCATCGCCTAGAAGCAACTGCTGCAGTCCTCATCTAAGTCTCTGTCTCCGGCTGCCAAGATCACTAGCATCCCATCATGAGACTGGTTCCCGGAGACGGGGGCTTCCAGAAAGCAGCCCCCCGGACACAACCAACTGTGCCAGCTCCGTGACGGCGTCAGCATCCATTGTTGACAAGTCCACACAGCATTTCCCAGGCTGGATCCCTTGCAGCACGCCGCTGAGGCCCAGCACCAGATCCTCGGCTCTCTTTGGATCTGGCACACAGGCAAAGGTGATGTCACAAGCAGAAATGACTTCAGCAGGGGTTCTTCCAGAGTCAGTCACCACATGACCCGCGTTTAGCAAGTTGGAGATGATGTCACTTCCCATGAGGCCTAGGCCCAAAAAGCCTATCTTTTTGGCTGTGGGTGTGATGCCGCCATTCATGGCCGTGCTGTCTGCTGCCTGGATGGAGTTGGACCCAGTATCCTCTTCACATATTTTCATCATCTTTCTGATTGCCTGGTAATGGTTATCTGGCTTCCCAGTTTGGCTGAGCAGGAAGTGGTGGAAATGAAGGTCTATGTCTTTAAGGAGCCCGCTTGCACTCGGCTGCCACTCAATTGCCATCATCCCATTCATAGGGGTAGACTCAGAATCTTACTCGTCCTGTGGGGACAGACCCCGCTTCTGGACACTCTGCTCTTGGGATCTTTTCAGGAGGGACTTAGAGCTTCTCTCTGAAGAGCCTGATGACACCCTCTTATTTCTTTCTCTGAGTTTTTCCCTTGGCTTCCCTTCAAATAGGCGAAGCGTGCGCTTCCCGCCACTTGAGTTCAGCCTACCTTTCTCCTCACCGGAATCTTGCTGATCCCCATCTTTGGTAGAACTGTGGGATGTCTGGTCTTTTTCTCTGTCAGCCCCGGGGAATTCTTCCACGGCCTCCACCGCTCGCTGGAATAGCTTTCCCTTGGTCTTCTGCATCATTTCTTCCTTATGTGCCTGGTACGGCTTCAGCTGTTCCAGTTCAATCCAGGCATGGTCCTCCATGCCAAAGAACTTCACAAAGCACCATTTCTTCCCGTGGGGTCTCTCCAGCTCCTCGGGTGGATTAATAATCTTCCCCTGCCAAGGAGGATATGGGCCAAGTTGCCCCCACACCAAATCGCCCAGCTGTAGGCTGATAGGCCGCATCTCACCGATCCAGATGCACTGGCCGCTGCAGGGAAAACCTTACGGCCGCATGGTGGCGCTGCAGCCGGAGTGTGCGGATCCAGATGCACTGGCCACGGTGTCAGGGAAGCTTACATCGCGTGGCGTGGCGGTGCTCCACGCTGGAGTGTGCCCGATCACGTGACCGGCCTGGCTGAACCTTAGCTCACCCTGGAGCTGCTCGTTGGAATCCACCTGACCACATAACGGTGCGGCTCAACTGTGCATTGTTTTAAGCTGCCAGATCGGTGGCAATATGTTATGGGGCAACAGGAAGTGACTACAATGGCATTATACTCTTTCTGCCCACCCACAGACTATAACATTTCTAAAGCATTTCAAGTAAATTCCTGTTTATCCTGAATGGTTAAACTTACTAAGCGTATTATATAAATGTGATGTTCAGGTAAAATGAAAGCCTGTATGCCACACACCGATAAGCATGTTTAAAATAAACATAACAAACTATGCATAACACCAAAATGATACTAAATAGCTGCTTGATGCTGAAACCGGTTTTGCTCAGTGGATAGAGCTTCAGCCTGCGACTGAAGGGCCCCGGTTCGATTCTGGTTAAGTAGGGGTGTCGAACTCAATCAGAGAAGGGGCCAAACTCTAAAATCCAGCCTAAATCGCGGGCCGAATGGTTTACTGAACAGTCATAAACTGTCATTGTGATGGAAACGCAGCAGAGTACAGTGATGACAGCGCGGTGCGGGCCACATTGCAAGGCCTGGCGGGACGGATTTGGCCCGCGGGCCTTGTGTTTGACACATGTGGGTTAAGGCATGTACCTTGGTTGCGGGCACATCCCCAGTGGGGGGTGTGCAGGAGGCAGCTGGTCGATGTTTCTCTCTCATCGATGATTCTAACTCTCTATCCCTCTCTCTTCTTCTCTGTAAAAAAAAAAATCAATGAAATATATATATATTTAAAGATAAAAATAAATATCTGCTTGAGGATAATGAATACAAATAATGAACATGGTACAGTATTGTGAGGAAAATGTGATTGTCTCAACTTTCTAGAGTCTTACATTCCAAGTTTTTATAAGTTATTCAGTACTTTGAAATAAATGAAATGACGAAGGGGGCTATACTTAGCTCACATCTCACACCATATATAAAAATTAACTCAAAATGGATCATAGACCTAAATATAAGAGCTATAACTAAAAACTTCTTTAAAAAGGATGAAAATTTCAATGAGTTTGGCAAACATTTCTTAAATAGGACCCCAAATGTGTACACTATAAAGCAAAAACAAATAAATAAATTGGACCTTGTTTAAAACTTATGCTCTTCAAAACATATTTTTTTAAAAATGAAAAGACAAGTCATAGAGAGAAAATGTTTGCAAAAAAATAACATATAGCCCTAACCGGTTTGGGTCAGTGGGTAGAGCATCGGCCTGCTGACTCAAAGGTCCTAGGTGGGTTCGATTCCAGTCAAAGGCATATGCCCTGGGTTGCAGGCTCGATCCCCAGTAGGGGGTGTGCAGGAGGCAGCTGAATTGATGTTTCTCTCTCATTAATGTTTCTAACTCTCTATTCCTCTCCCTCTCCCTTCCTCTCTGTAAAAAATCAATAAAATATATATTTTTTTAAAAAATTACATATATATATATACATACATATACATATATATATGTATACACACACACATATATATATGTATATATCAGATATAGGACTTGTATTTCGCCAAAGAAAATAAATATATGGATAGCAAATAAGCTCATAAAACGATGCTTAATATCATTTTTAAAAAACTTGACCATACCTACCAAGTATTAGTGAATATATAGAGCAACTGGAACTCTTATACATTGCTGGTGAAAATGTAAAATGGTACAATTGTTTTTGGAAAGCCGTTTGACAGTTGGTTAAAAAATTAAGCATTTACCTACCATATGGCCAGACAGAAGGCAATCACCAACTGCATTACCATATCTAAATTCACCATTCTGAGGGGTGTGCTATGATGTTTCTTGGTATTACTTCAGATTCAGGCAACAACAAAAGTGTGATGATTCCTTTTTTTATAATGACTATTAGCAACCTACATTTAAATAATGCGTTAAAAGTATGTATGATTTGCAAAGCCCATATATTTCGCTTGATCTTCACATCAACTCTGAGAGAGAGGTGAGGAAGGGTGGGTTTACTATCCTCACTTCATAAGAGGGTGTCATCAGGCTCTTCAGAGGCTCTAAGTCCCTTCTGAAAAGAACCCCAAAGCAGAGTGCCCAGAGGCGGAGTCCACACCCACAGGACAAAGAAGGGTTCTGAGTCTACCCCTATGAATGGGATGATGGCCGGATCCATGGCGGCAGTTGAGTGGCAGCCGAGTGCGAGCGGGCTCCTTAAAGACATAGACCCTCATTTCCACCACTTCCTGCTCAGCCAAACTGGGAAGCCAGATAACCATTACCAGACAATTATAAAGTTACTTCTCAAATGCATGTGTAAGTCTCAGACCTCACGGTGATAACCATTGCTTTATTAGAGCAGTGATCCTCACATTTCAATGCGCCGAACCCCCTGAAAAGCTTGTTAAGCGTCTGCTGGGGTCCACCTTCACAGTTTATGATGAGGTAGGTCTGGGGTGAGGAGCAAGCATTTGCATTCCTAACAAGTTTCCAACTGATGCTGCTGCTTTCTGTCCTGGGACCACATGACAAGGGCCTCTGCTTTAGAATAACTGTTGATAGTGGCTGGAGGGAGTGACAGGGAGAGCATCCTAAATATGTCACTACAAAAGCTCAGCTTTTTTTTTTTTTTTTTTTTTTTTTTCAAATCTTGCTGTTGGACTACTTTTTTTGTAAGCAATTACCCTTTGTGGTACTTTCTTGAGCAGTCCATCAAAAAGACAAAACGTGCCCTAACCCCGTGGTCGGCAAACTGCGGCTGGCAAGCCACATGCGGCTCTCTGGCCCCTTGAGTGTGGCTCTTCCACAAAATGCCACGGCCTGGGTGAGTCTCTTTTGAAGAAGTGGCATTAGAAGAAGTTTAAGTTTAAAAAAGTTGGCTCTCAAAAGAAATTTCAATCGTTGTATTGTTGATATTTGACTCTGTTGACTAATGAGTTTGGGATTTATATTATTCTGTTTCCACAGTGTGTAGAGTTTCCAAATTCTTTCCTCAAAATCCACCTTCATGAATTTTGCTTCATTTGTGTGCCTCTGGCACTACAATTTATTTAACTTTTCTTTAATGGACTCTTTTAAAAACTTTAATGTATTTTAAAAGCTAACATCCATCATTATCATTTATTAAAAATAATATTGCCGGCTATAAGTAGAGGGCAATTATAAAGTTTATAAATTATATAACTTGGCCTGCTCTCCTCCTCACTTCACTCTCTCCAAGCTACAGTAAGACCTCACTTATCATCAATAGGTTCTGCAACTTTAAGTGCAACGACGCACAATGAAACCGATTTTACCATAGGCTAATGGATATAAACAAGAGTTAGGTTCCTGTGGCACCTCATCAATGCTATAACAAAACAACATGGAGCAAAGCAACGTTATCTGAGAACCTGCTGAGGCAGATTGGCATGGCTGAGAGATCAAGCTGGAACACAAAAAGGTTTCAGATCAAATCCCAACATCACTATTTACCAACCTGTGGTCCCTCAGCATCAGATCACCTGGGAACTTGTTAACCAGGCAAGTTCTTAGGCCACACCCCAGTTGGACTGAATCAGAAACGCGGGGGGTAAAGCCCAGATATCTGTGTTCTAACAAGCCCTCCAGGTGATGCTGATGCAAGTTCAAGTGTGAGAAGCACTGCCACTTGACTTCCTGAATAACCCTGTGCAGATTCACAGCTTTCTAAAACCATCATTTCCTCATCTGTGAAATACCGAGAGTACTAACCATGTCAAGTTGTGACAATGACATGACACAATACATATAAAGAACTTAGTAAACAATAAACATCTATTGTTATTATGATGAAGAAAACTGTCCTTTATCCCATGGATTCTATTCAACTCGGGATGTTTGTTTCTGCGCTATCGTACAATGCTCAAAGCTTAACTGGTAACTAGTCTGATTTCCGCTCCATCCCAACCAAATGGAATGCCATTCATTTCCTGCTACACGGCTCTCTACCTCCGTATCTTCACTGTTCCTGTTCCACTGTCCCAGAATGCCCTTCCATTCCCTGCCCACATTGTCCAAATCTTAACTTTCCCCCAAAAGATCAGCTGAGGTGGGTTCCTAACTGCTCCAGGTCAAATGAATCTGCCTTTCATATATATATTGATTTCAGAGAGGAAGGGAGAGAGGAATAGAAATATCAATGATGAGAGAGACTCATTGATGGGCTGCCTCCTACATGCCCTCTACTGGAGATTGAGCTAAAAACCCGGGAATGTACCCTGACCAGGAATCAACCATGACCTCCTGGTTCATAGATTGACACCCAACCACTGAGCCACACTAGCCGGGCTAATCTGCCTTTCTTAAAACTGTCCATTTTCATCTGTGTTGCAGGTTTTAAGCTCTAAGCAATCAATTTTCAACCTTTTTCATCTCATGGCACACAGAAACTAATTATTGTAATTCTGCGGCATACCAAAAAATATATTGTTTGCCAATCTGACAAAAAAATAGGTATAGCTGAAACCGGGTTGGCTCAGTGGATAGAGCATCGGCCTGCGGACTGAAAGGTCCCAGGTTCGATTCCGGTCAAGGGCATGTACCTTGGTTGCAGGTACATCCCCAGTAGTGGGTGTACAAGAGGCAGCTGATCGATGATTCTCTCTCATTGATGTTTCTAACTCTCTATCCCTCTCTATTCCTCTCTATAAAAAAATCAATAAAATATATATATTTAAAATAGGTATAATTTTGATTCATTTACACTGGATAGTTATTGTTTTGTTGCCTGTTGTCATTTTTTAATTTGACAATCTAAGGGACAAGAGGTCAGTGCCCCTGTCTCAATAGTCAAGTACTACACGTATTTAAAAATTTATAGCACACCAGTGCGCCATGACATGCTGCTTGAAAATTCCTACCCTAAACACATGCATACATGCTACTGGTGGGTTTTATTTCTGATTGTCTTATCCCTTTATAATGAAGCACCTAGGCCCTAGCTAGTTTGGCTCAGTGGGTCCTGGGTTCGATTCTGGTCAAGGGCACATACCTTGGTTGCAGGCTCCTTCCTGGCCCAGACCCTGATTGGGGCTTGTGGGGGGGGGGTAACCAATCGATGTGTTTCTCTCTCTTTCCCCTCTCTTCCTCAATCTCCCTAAAAAAATCAATGGAAAAATATCCTCGGGTGAGGATTAACTCAAATATCTATATATATAAAGCCTAAACGACCTTACGACTGATCGACCGAAAAAGTGGTTGCTATGATGTGCACTGACCACCAGGGGGCAGATGCTCAATGCAGGAGCTGTCCCCTGGTGGTCAGTGCGCTTCCACAGCCAACCTCCCATGGCTGTCCAGCCTCCTGCAATCCCTCCCCCCGGCTGGGT